GGCAGGAGGAGGAGGAGAAGAGAAAGGGAGAGTGAGAGGCAGAGGAGAGCTGAGAGAAAGCAGGGGGGGGGGAATCAGTAGGAGGAGAGAGAGAGACGGAGCGAGGGAGCTCAGGAGAGAAGACCTGAAATGATGGCCTAATTGGCTAGTAGGAAAACTAAAAGCCATAATCTGGGAGCCTGTCCCTCCCTCGGTCCTTCCAAACTGGCTGATTCATGTGTTAGCACAATACCACATTACAGCGCAATGTTTAAACCCAAACAAAAGCAGTGTTCAATGCAATTTTAAAACTGCCACAGAAGTATTTCAATTTTTCTTCACTCTTTTGTAGATACTGTAAGTTTTGCTACCTACATCAACCTAACAGCAAGTTTTAAAAATACTGAAGTTCACCTTACTCACCTGAGAGCCAGTACAGCACAGGACACTTCCCAATTTCTGCTTTTGGTGGCAAATAGATTCCAAACCTCATTTTGCATTTTAACTCTACACTGTGGCAACAAAATACATATGATTAACAACACTATTTAACTGACAAACCCACATCTTGTTAGTCTTTAAAGTGCTATAGTCCTGTTTTTTGTTTCAACATTAGGCTACTGAGTAATAATGACTGCAATTAACAAAATACAAAATAAACCAGATCCTGACAGTCTGGCTGGTAGGGAATATTTTGAAAATTACACTGGAATTCAAGACATACCAACACTCAACCTAACTCGTCCGTGAAATCGGAGAGACTTATTTTAAGGACATCTACAGATAGCTCACATAATTTACAGTGCATTCCATACAGAAGCAAATGTCAAGTTGTTTCAGTCTCCCACATTGATTGAATAATCAATTGCCCAATTTTTATTAAACGTTAAAACTGCCAGTAGAAAGCATTTTTTCTTCAGAAGCTACTTTCTTTAGATGCAAGATCTTCCAAGAGCGGTGTATGTGTGATTACATATATGCAAACATAATAATTCAAAAGATGAAGAAGCACCTAATTAATACACTTGAACTTCTTTAGTCCGGCAACCCTGGGAAATAGGGTATATACCAGATTAAAGATTTTTTGGCTCAATGGATGGCGCTGGCACGGGGTCCGGAAAGGAGGGTGCATGAGGAGAAGGGTGAGGAGCTTGCCTGATGCAGCACTCCCAGGGACACAGATGGCTCTGCTTCCTCTCCCCAGCTCCCAGGCACCCTCCCACACTCTCTATGGTAGCAGGGATGTAAAATCCTATTTAATTACTTAACCACTTCAGCATTATGTTTAACCAGTTAATCGATTAAACTGGGGTGGGCAGGCTGGAGCCATTCACATCCCTGTACGAGAGCAGCAGAGGAAAAGCTTCCAGAGAAGCTGTAGGAGGGAAGGAAGGGAGCAGCAGCGCACAGAACCACTTCCTGTGCTCCCTGCAGAAGTCCAAACCACAGGTGTTCCCAGAGCAGGGAAGTTAAGGCATACTGCAATTCATGTGAATTATACTCATTTATGCACAAGCAAACAGGCTGAAAAGTCTCAGATAAGCAACTGGAGTGTGAAATTTATCTAAAAGAGTCTCTCTTTCACAGCAAAGAATTGGTGATTCATGAGTAATGTGTTCCCCTTGGAGACCAAAAATGAAAACTAAATGCTTATAAATAGTTGCACAGGTCAGGAGTTCTCAACCATTTTCTTTCTGAGCCTCCCCCTATCCCCGCATGCTATAAACCTCCACCTGTGACACAAAAACTGGTTTTCTGCATATAAAAGCCAGAGCCAGCATTAAGGCTTCTTCGGAAGCAGGGTTATTGCCTGAAGCTACATTGCTCAGACTTTAGCCCCATGTGGTGGGGTTTCGGCTTTCAGGCCAAGGCCCTAGCAAGTCTAATACTAGCCATGCTTGAAGGATACCCTGATACATGTTCACAACCCAGAGAGCCCTGGACTCCTGCTTGAGATCCACTGGTAAAGGTAATTTCTTCTCATTACAAGTTTTTTTCTACTACTGACTCAGTTTGTTGTAAGCTTTGTCATGTGAATAAAACACTTAACTGCTTCATGCACATGAAAGTTAATATATGTTCCTATCTCCATACTGTAAACACAGCAGCCCAAAGTGATAAGACCAATTCTCAGGACACTGATATTTTCTATGACAGTAAATTTACTATTAATGTTTGCCTTCTGCAAAGCTTAGTATTAAGAGTTTAAAAATGTAGAATAAAGCAACCAGTAAGCTGAAGATAAAATATTAATATAAAAATGAAACTACTAAACACTGATATTAGTATCATTCTATATTAATTTTATATTATTTTCTTTTGACTATGGAAATACTGGAAGTAATACAATACTGCTATTATTCGCCCTTTACAACCTAAACTATTGCTAAAAATTTAGCAATGTTTACCTGTCATGTTCAAATACCTTCTGGAAACCCTCAAAGCATTTGTTGCTGGAAATCTGTTTCAGTGCCATATTCTCAGCTGTTTTAAGAAAAAAAGTAAACACACTCAATCTGTGGCATCTTCACTTAGCATTACAATTTCTCAAAACAGAGTATTTCCAGCCAACAGACTTTTAAATACTTTGATTATCAATCTTCAGGTGACTACAAACAACATCTATCTTTTTCCAGATACACAAATTCCAGATTTCAGAAACAAAATCTCAGTTGCCTTACAAGAACATTTCAGCTTTCATAACTGTAACAAATTTATGGTTCTTCAACAAGTGGGTTTTTGTAAACTTTTAACAGAGGAGAGAACAGCAATGGTATGAAGGGGGTGGGATCAAGGTACTAACACACCTTCTTAAATATTATTTTGGGGTAGACAGACGAACTTTTTTTTTCTTATGAAGTCATGTCACCCTTTGCAATCTATAGGCTTTTATTCTGCAGCATCTACTCCTACACAACACGAATGTATTTACATTTAAAACCTATTCTTTTGGGATCATTGTGTTATTCTTCATCTGCAAACACTTTTTCCAACCCTGGCAAGGAATAAAATAATACAGAACAGAAATTATACTGGTTTGTTGACACCTAACTTCTGGTAAGTTTTAGTAGTATGCCATCTTTTAGCCATGTCAGTCCCAAAGTATTATTAGAGAGAAAAGGTGGGTGAGGTAATATTTTGTATTGGTCCAACTTCTGTTGCTGAGAAACACAAGTTATTGAGCTACGCGGGTCAGACCTAAAGAAGAGCACCATACAGCTCAAAAGCTCACGCCTCTCACCAACATAAGCAGATTCAGTTTAAAAAAAAAAAAAACTTACCCCAACCACCTTCTCTAAGTTTTAAATGTAGGAGGTACACCTATTTTTGGATGGTACTTGATTCTGAAATGGGGGGTGGGTGGGTTCTGAAGTGAAAGACATTGATGCATGTTAAATCAGAGACATTATACAGTACAATTAGAGGGACAAAAACTACAGGGGAAGGAAACAAAGCTTAGATTGTGGACAAACCATAAGGAATATCGGAGAACAGACAGCCTGATGGAGTTAGAGTTTTAAAAGTAAATGGATCATATATACATTTACTTAATACATGGGGGAAACCCATGTCAAGTAGTAAGGGGAAAACACTGTCACTACTGAAGGAGAAAAAGGCAACTGGAAGGAGAGCTAGAAAGGAATTCAAGCCAGGAACCTTCAGTGGCACAGAGATGAAACTACCAGGGCCAGACTGTAAGGTTACCTGCTGTCAGATAAGAAATTAATTTTGGAAGTGTTGAAGCAAAGAAGCTCAAAGTGCATGGATGATTTCTCCCTCCCATTTGACAATTGCATTTATCTCACTATGATGAACTATTGCACAGATTTCCTTCAGGCTTTGTTAGTTTCCTTTACTACCTGACTGGAACTTTTTAGAAATAGAGGAGTCAGGCAAGGTGACTCCAAGGAGTTCCTAATTTACCTTTTTTTAAAAGATTCATTAATTGACGTGCTTTTATCCTATCTCCTTTCTCAAATGAACAAGCCAATCCTCAAAGTTTCTCTTCACATGGGATACTCCATGCCCTTAACCCAGGCTTCTCTGCAGTGTCCTCTAGCTCTGCAGTAGAGATGACCAATGCCATGTTCAGCACTCCAAACGACAGCCCCAGGGATTGCTATGGGGCATCATGACCGTCTCTAGTCCTCTCCCACACCTCCTGGCAGCCTGTCTGCTGTTCTGACTGCAGACACACACTGATGAGCACAGGGGGGCATGGTGCTGTCTACACTGGCACCCAGGAGGGGGCTTCCCTCGCTCCCTCCCCCAGCGCAGAGCAGCAGACGGGAGTCTCGTTGAGAACCAGAGCCCTTCCCGCTGCCCCTCACTTCCCTGCCCTCCCCCCAGTGTCAGTCGCCTTTCATTCATTTAGAATAGTGATAGAAATGTAGCCGTGTTAGTCTGGGGGTAGTTGAAGCAAAATGCAGGACAATGTAGCACTTTAAAGACTAACAAGATGGTTTATTAGATGATGAGCTTTCGTGGGCCAGACCCACTTCCTCAGATCAAATAGTGGAAGAAAATAGTCACAACCATATATACCAAAGGATACAATTAAAAAAAATGAACAAATATGAAAAGGACAAATCACATTGCAGAACAGGAGGGGGATGCTTACAGTTTGTTTCAATGGCTCTCAGCACCCGTACTAATAGAACTGTTCCAGTGCCCTAGCTTCAGCTGGGATGGTCATTTTGTTTTGAAGTAGTATGTCAGCCATTACTTCTAGTGTTCGCAGTTTAGGGTTGACTTTCGATCCCCAGCTGTTATTTAACAATCACATAGTACTAATAATTCAGGCTGCTTTTGACTTCTTGTAGCTGGTCGGGGGCTACAACCTTTTCCTTTGGATGCAGACCTTGCTGCGCTTATTCATGCCTTTGTTACCTCAAGATTAGACTAGTATAAAGTGTATTGCAAACAGCAACACTTTTTAAAGCCATTCGGTGACTGATGCTGGTGCATACCTCAATGACTTGCTTATCGAGTAAGGCATCTCACTGGGTGTATGAGACTTCAGAGTTACAGGAGCTGCATTAACTACCTATTTCCAATGGCACTAGAATTCTTAAATACTTTATGTCCTGTTAGGTGTTTTAAAACTAGAAATCAATCGATCAAGAGGTAAGGAGCCTAGTAATTGAAAAGCAGCTCATTGCTAGAGATTGCAAACAGGTGTGCCTACTGATTAAATATTAGTGCTGTTTCTCCTTCCATTCCAATTTTTTTTAAAAGCACCACATAATACCAGTAATGCTTGTGTTCAATGGATGAAGAATTTGCTAACTGACAGATCTCAAAAAGCAGTCCTTCGTAGACATGGATTCATAGACTCATAGACTCATAGACTTTAAGGTCTGAAGGGACCATTATGATCATCTAGTCTGACCCCCTGCACAGTGCAGGCCACAGAATCTCGCCCACCCCTCTTAGAATAATCCTCTCACCTATGTCTCAGATATTGAAGCCTTCCAATACTTTGAAGGCCCCAACATGCAGAGAGTCCTTCAGCTGTGATCTGTGCCCAATGCTACAGAGGAAGGCGAAAAACCTCCAGGGCCTCTGCCAATCTACCCTGGAGGAAAATTCCTTCCTGACCCCAAATATGGCGATCAGCTAAACCCTGAGCATGTGGGCAAGACTCACCAACCAGACACCCAGAAAGTTCCCTATAGCAACTCCTATCATCCCTCCATTGACCTATTTCCAACTGATAATGAATGGTCAATTAGTTACCAAGATCATGTTATTTCATCCAACCATCCCCTTATCATAGAATCATAGAACTGGAAGAGACCTCAGAAGGTCGTCAAGTCCAGCCCTCCGCTCTAGGCAGGACCAATCCCATCTAAATCAACCCGGCCCGGGCTTTGTCAAGCCGAGACTTAAATACCTCTAGGGATGGAGACTCCACTACTTCCCTAGGTAACCCATTCCAATGCTTCACTACCCTCCTAGTAAAATAGTTTTTCCTAATATCCAATCTGGACCTCTCCCACCACAACTTGAGACCATTGCTCCTTGTTCTGCCATCTGTCACTACTGAGAACAGCCTCTCTCCATCCTCTTTGGAACCTCCCTTCAGGCAGCCTTCTAGGGCTGCCTCCCCCAGTGTCATTGTCCCTTCCAGGACCACTGCCCTGCCCCTCACTACGTCCTCCAGAGCACCTCCTCTTGCCCCCAAAAGTGTTACTGCCCCTTTCAAGTCTTCTCTTCCCCCTCCACATGCTCCAGGGTCTCCTTCTCCCACACATCCACAGAGGGTCACCACCCCCTCTAGGGCTGGCATCACAGAAGGGGCCACCCAAATACCGACAAGAGGGTATTTTCTTCAGTACAGGAAATAATAATAATTAATATAATAATATAATAAATTCTTACCACTCATGCCTACTTGTCACCTACCACCTCACATTGGAACCCAAGCAGGATATCAGTAACACTTATGTCTTGGTCTCACTCTCAACATCAAGAAGACCAAATGATCAGCCCTCTCCAAATGAGGTCCCATAAGCTCCATCTATTAAAATCAAGGGAGAGACACTGAAGAATGTCAATCGTTTTCTCTACTTTGGAAGTTATCTTTCATCCAAGATGTAGAAATCCAACAGCATCTGAGCTGTGCCAGTGCAATCGTTGCTTATTCATGGCACAGGGCTTTTGAAGATCACAAATTCAATCAGATACCAAGCGTCTTGTCTATCAAGTCTTCATTCTCCCAACACTATTATACAAGTCTGAAATCTGGACAATCTACAGACAGGTTGAAAGTCCTTGAAAAGTATCACCAACGCTGCCTCCACAAGATCTTGAAGATCAAATAGGAAGACAGGCACACTAACATTAGTGTTCTGGAAGAGGTGATGACCACCAATATGGAGGCAATGATCATCCATTAGCAGCTTCACTGGACTGCTCATGTTATTCGGATGTCAGACCATCACCTCCCAAAACAGGTCCTGTTTTCTCAGCTAAAAGAAGGATACCGTAAAGTGAGAGGGCAACAGAAGCATTATAAGGACTTGCGAAAGGATAATGTAAAGAAGTGCAACATTGACGTTGACACTTGGGAGACACTTGCTGAGGAGCTCTCAAAATGGAGACAAGTCCTATGCCATGGCCGCCTGCATTTTTAATTTGCCCACCAACAAGCCATGGTCAACAGCCTCCTGCTGTACCTGGAAACATCTGTTCTCATTGTAATACAACTCCATGGTTCAAGGATCAGCTTATCAGTCATCTGAGGGTCCATAACGCCCATGAAAGATGATCATATTGGCAATGAGTGATCACCCATCACAAATCATATTTGATGAGGACTGTTTCTTGAAAAAAATATTTCTTCAACTATCTTTTCTGGCGTTCAGACAGAACCTCCTCTCCTGCCAGTGTGGCTTGAAGAACTAATTGGGCTTTTTTTACTCCTGCTGGAGAAATGAATAGGTGTAGGGGTATAATTCTGTCATGTGCTTAGTTTCTAAACATCCAAAGGAAAGGAGGGAACATGTTTGATTTTTGAAGAGATCAAAAGAACAACATTCTTGCCAAAAAGCCATCTCTTTGTCCGTTTCTGCCAAGTTTTCAAGGAGAAGAATGTCTCTAAACAATGGAGATCAAAATACATTTTAAGAAATGCATTATCAAGTCTTAAATGCCAAAAAATTCAAGCCCATAGATAATTATTCTAAAGATAAGCAGCAGATATTTCTTAAAGCTACCCTGCAGAGTGTTCACTGGGGGCAACCATGCCACCTAGAGAGTGCTCATTAAGGCTGTGGTGCCACCATCTCCCCCTGTCACAAACCCTTTCCCCTCCCTTTATTCCCTTCCTTCCTTCCATCCTGGCCCTTGGCCACAGTGCCGGAGGGGAGTTTAAAGAGCAGACTTGGGGGTGGGGAGGCTATGATAGAGGTCTATTAAATCATGTCTGGTGTGGAAAAAGTGAATAAGGAAAAGTTATTTACTTATTCCCACAATATAAGAATTAGGGGTCGCCAAATGAAATTAATGGGCAGCAGGTCTAAAACAATCAAAGGACGTTTTTCTTCACTCAGACAACAGTCAACCTGTGGAACGCCTTGCCAGAGGATGTGGTGAAGACTGGGACTTTAACAGGGTTCAAAAAAGAGCTAGATAGATTCATGGAGATTAGGTCCATCAATGGCTATTAGCCAGAATGGGTAGGAATTGTGTCCCTAACCTCTGTTTGTCTGGAAGTGGGTGACAGGAGAGGGATCACGTAAGGATTACCTGTTGTGTTGGCTCCCTCTGAGGCATCTGGTATTGGCCACTGTCAGCAGACAGGATACTGGGCTAGATGGACCTTTGGTCTGACCCTGTATGGTCGTTCTTATGTTTGTACATTTTCACTTATATTAATAAGATATATAGGGTATGGAAGGTACAAAAAGCAAAATTATTCTCATTTGAGAAAGGTAGGTGAGCTTTCCCTTATTCTGATCATTCCACCTGATAGGACTGAACTGGCCTCTGGAATAATTTCTAACAGCTTATGGGATCAATCACAGCCATCTGCCAAAGAGAAAGTCCAGAATGTGCGTTCACTTGAATAAACAGGTCTAGAAGCCAACTGTTTATAAGAGGATCAACAAGATTCAAGGGCCACAAATTAAATTGTTGGCCCCACTAGTGTCAAGGGAAAGCAGTACCTTTGGGGACATTCAGTTATGGGACAAGGTGAGCAGTAGTTATCATCCTCTCTTGGGGCCTCCCTTAGGTACGGGCAGCTTTAAAATACTATTCAATTATAAATTGGCTAAACTGGGATTTAAGCATATAAAGTGCTTTGCTGAACGAGGATCTTAACTCCTACATTCCTATCAATCTGGCTGCAAATAGTGACTCAGAATTTATTTATATGTTCAGAAGCTTAAAATCATTAAATCCAAACTGAAGAGATGTTAAAAATAGGATTTGTGAAATGGTCTAAGAACGAGATTGATTCTTCCCAAGTTGAGAATTAATTTGTACTAAAAGAAATAGTTGATCGAGTTGTCTCTTATCAGTGTACTGCAGTTGTAGGTACATTCTGAGGGTACGTCTACACCGCAACACTATTTTGAAATAACTAGCATTGTTCCAAAATAACTTAATCTATGTCTACACAGCCGGCAGTTATTTTGAAATAGTATGAAAATACTGTCAAGCTGGAGGACTTCTTGCTCCAACTCCTGTAACCCTCATTGTACGAGGAGTAAGGGAAGTCAGAGGAAGAGTGCTGTATTTCGAAATAAGTGCTGTGGAGATGTTCCCTATTTCGAAATAAGCTACGCAATTGATGTAGCTCAATTCATGCATCTTATTTCAAGTTAAGCCCTGCTGTGTGTACACACCCTGAGAGGGCTCTCCTTTTTCTGGCCCCTGAGATTTTTAGCAGTCTTTCATCAATTAATCTCTGCACCACCAGCATAGAATGAAATTGGGCTTGCGATTTATCAAATAAAGTAAGGTAAAGCTCCAGAAATAAATAGAATGACAATCAAAATAAGAGCTAGAGGTAAAGACTTGTGGGGAAACTGTCGGTTTAACCATTACTTGGAAATGCACAAGATACCATCTAGCTGGAAGGTGTCCAAACACCTTTTTGTTGTATGAGAAGAGTGATCATGAGGTCAACATATCTAAAAGCTATTTACTAAAATAATAACAAACCAACCCTCATAGTGTCTGGACAAGTAACCACCAAGGCTATATCTACACTGCAGGCTTTTTGCGCAAGAACTGTTTTGTGCAAAAGGTTTTGTGCAAAAGGTCTTGCGCAAGAGCTCATCCACACTGCCATGGACTTTTGCGCAAGAACGTCCAGGGCAGTGTGGATGCTTTCTTGCACAAGAAAGCTCTGATGGCCATTTTAGCCTGTTGCCTAGCCACACTGCCTTCTTGTGCAAGAGCTCTTGCACAAGAGGGCTTATTTTTCATGGGAAGAGGAATAACTCTTGCGCAAGAAGCCCTCTTTTCTGACGCTTTACTGTAAATTTACTTGCGCAAGAACACGTGTGCAGTGTAGACGCTCTTTAAGTTTTTGCTCAAGAACAGCTGTTCTTGTGCAAAAAGCCTGAAGTGTAGATGTAGCCCCAAAAGAGTAGGTAGAATTAATGAGCTGCAGATTCTGTTCAATTCTATGGATTATCAAAGGAATTGTTTAAGTACCAATCAGTGAAATTTGTGAAAATTCCCTGGCAACAATGGGCTTGCACATATATCAATCAGGGTGCATCTAGACTGGCAAGATTTTGCGCAAAAGCGTGTTCTTCCCTGTCTACACTGGCCACTTGAATTTGCACAAGAGCACTGACTTTGTAATGTACAAAATCAATGCTTCTTACGCAAATACTTTCACGCTCCCGCTCGGGAAAAAGCCCTCTTGCACAAGAATACTTGCGCAAGAGGGCCAGTGTAGACAGGGAAGAACTGTTTTGCGCAAAAAAGCCCCGATGGCTAAAATGGCGATCGGGGCTTTCTTGCGCAAAATCGCGTCTAGACTGGCCACGGATGCTTTTGTACAAAAGCACTTTTTGCACAAAAGCATCCGTGCCAATCTAGACGCGCATTTGCGGAAATACTTTTAACAGAAAAACTTTTCTTTTAAAATTATTTCCGCAAAATCATGCCAGTCTAGAAACAGCCTCAGAGTCTAATTTGGCTTGCAAAATCTAAAGTATTATAAAAGGAGAGATATCTGTCATGCCATTTGTCACAAAGAACTTTTGAGAATACACTGGGACTATGTCTACACTGCAGGCTTCTTGCGAAACAATGGCTGTTCTTGCGCAAAACTTTGTGGCGCATCTACACTGCACGTGCGTTCTTGCACAAGTAAATTTACGTTACAGCATTGGAACAGAGGGATTATTACGCAAGCGTTATTCCTCTCCCCATGAGCAATAAACACTCTTGCACAAGAAGGCAGTGTGGACAGGCAACAGGGGTTTCTTGTGCAAGAAACCCCTATGGCTAAAATGACCATTAGAAATTTCTTGCTCAAGAGAGCGTGCACACTGCCATGGACATTCTTGCACAAAAGCACATCTCTTGTGCAAAAGCACATGGTAGTGTTGGAGTAAGAGTTTTATATCTTTTTATATTTGCATTTTAGGTTTAATAATGTAGTAATGTAAGGTAACACATTTAACATTTTATTAATTAAGCCCTTTAGTTAAATATACATTTCTTTGTTTTAAAGTTTACTGAGTTTAGTAAGTAAAGAGACAGAGTTTTGGTATTGTGTCTATGTTAATGAGATTAGAGAAATGTTGAAGGCTGGAGTCTTAATTGTTTGATTTACAATGTCTTTTGCTGTGCCCAGTATGAGACACTGTTGTTTATGCTTTTCTTTGAAGATCTTTGTAAAGATTGTTTATGTGTGAAAGTGTTATGTATGTGTTGAGATAAAGGTGCAAAGGTTATCCTCAGAGCCAGATGGCCAAGAAAGGAGGAGTGAGGTGTGGGTGAAGACAGAATCCTCGGTGTCAGAAAAACCATCAGTGCGTACCCATGGTTAAGAATTGATCAGATTGGTAGATTGATGACTCTAAATTGGAGCTAGCACCCCCAAAAGACAATTGATTACAATTGATTTTGGAGATGTTTTGGGAATGATTAACATCAAAAAGATAACACACCAGACACAGACTAGCACAGCAAAATCCATAGACTTCAACAGAGAAAAGATTATAAAAGCAGGGTGCTTTGCTGTGGAACTTTGGGTTCATGTTGCCACCAACTCTACGAGTGTGTCTAGACTACAGGGTTTTGTCGACAAAAGTGGACTTTTGTCGACAAAACTATACCTGCGTCCACACTGCCTTTGAGTTATGTCGACATAATGTAGACAAAACTCAGCAGTTTTGTCGATGTATGTAAACCTCATTCTACGAGGAATAACACCTTTTGTTGACAGAGTTCTGTCGATAGAAGGCATTATTGCATCTACACTGTCCTTTGCGTCCACACTGTTATGTCGACAAAGTGGCTTGCTTTGTCAACAGAACTGGATGTAGTCTAGACGCTCTTTGTCGACAGAAGCTTTGTCGACAGTATCTGTCGACAAAACTTCTGTCAACAAAACCCTGTAGTCTAGACATACCCTAGGAGAGCATCAGATCACGACCAGCAAAGCCCGGCTCCCCCTCTGTGATCAGTCTGGCTGGCCACTAGATTGATCCAGACTCTGGACTGGTAACTATAACATCGTCTGGTGGGTCTGTGTGTATAGTGTTTGTGTGTGAGTGACTGAAAAGCATATGCTTCTCTTGTATTCTCAATAAATGCAGCGAACTGCCTTTTCCCCTATAAAAGATCCCGTGTGCTTTGTATAGCATAACAGCAGTGTGGACACACTCTTGTGCAAGATCTTTTGTGCAAGAACTCTAGCGCAAGAAGCCCTCTTTTTCTGATGCTTTACTGTAAATTTACTTGCGCAAGAACACATGTGCAGTGTAGACGCTCTGCAAGTTTTTGCACAAGAATGGCTTGCAGTGTAGATGTAGCCGAGAAGTTTCTAGAAAATGGCAGAATGAGTTATTGCCTTAGAACTTTCAGCACAAAGCTCCAAAAGAAAACCATAAAAACAGCTCACAAAAGCCATTTAGAAGTTAAAAATACAAAGGAAAGCTAAAAAGGCAGCTGATAAACAACAAACAAACAATTACAGCACAAACACATGGCTATAGAACACATTCTATTATTTAACAATGCTGTTCCATCTCCATAGACACTGTCAAAAATTGATAATGCTGACTATATTTCAAGTCCTCATAGCGGGGTATTGGGAAAAGTTTTCCAATAGCAATAATTGCACCTCAGATTAACCTCATTGGCTACAATACTGCCACTGCACAAAACTAATGAAAAACCTGCTGATGCAGGTAACCTTTTGCCGGGCCATGGACTACTAGGTTAGGCAGAAGCCCAATAGACCGTGGCAGAAGGCCAGGTATGAAGTGGCCTGATGAGTGCTGCCTCCAGTGCCTTGGCAGGCCAGCTAAATCCAGCAGGCGTGAGGGGTTCAGTGTTCTTGTGCCACTCAAAACTATCAGATTGCTGCAGAGGCCTCAGAGATCTCTATGCAAATGTAAAACTTACATCAGCAGGCTGGAGCCTGCCTGAGGTGGATTCAGCATTGCTGAGCCTGTTTCAGAGGAGGGGGAAGGCAGGAAGAGACGTACATACGTATGCACGCAGGAGAAAAGGGGGTGGGGGATGAGAAAATGGCAGTGGCTGAAGCAGTGATCAGCCACTTCCTGGGTTGGCAGCCCACTGGACCATGGCTTCACTTTCCTCCCACCGGGAGACAAGCAGCTGGGGGGGCATGTTCCTCAGGCTGAGGACACATAGCTGGGGGAGGAGGTTGTTACTCAGGCCATGGACACATGGCTGGAGGAGCGGGCGGGGGGGGGACGACTGTTACTGGGCCAGGTATCACTGAACATCTCATTCAGGCTGAAATGCTTGGAGATGACAACACAACATGGGGGCCTGCTGGGTGATTTTCTCCAAGTTCTTCCAGTAGTTTGACATGGACAGAAATCAGCAATCACTGATACAAGTTTAAAACAGTTGCCTCAGTGGCATCACTGCATTGTGCTCAACCTGACATGGAATATGGGAGTTGAAAATTGCAGGCAACTGGGCCACTCCAAAGAAGCCAGAAGACTTACATCATATGTGGATTGGCTCCTGCAGGAGAGCCAATCCAAAGGAGAGCCATATTGACTGCAGCAAATGCAGCAGTGTAATTACGGAAAAGCTTCCAGGAAATGTGTCTTCCTAAAAAGCATCAACACAGTTCAGGACAATGATCAGGCAGCTCTTTATCCAGCTGAGTTCCTGAACTCTCTGAATGTCAGTGGTTTACCTTCTCATGGGAAGTTGCAACTCCAAACCAGGCCAAGCTGAGTGTACACCGACTGTCACAACAGGATGGGTAGTGCTAGTCTTTATAACAGTGATGGTGTGAAAGATGGAATTGACTAATTTTTACAATCACATTTCAGGCTGAATTTGCAGGGCTGACAGAAAAAAATTGTAAACTGTGCAAATTTGAAAGATAATAAACATGGAACCCCACAATGCCATTTTAAAAATTAATTTTGCAGCATACAATTGCACTTTAATAGCAATTATTTGTCATGGAATAGCAAAAGAAAAGCAAAGAATAATGTAAAATTCACACGATAAAATGTGAAATTCTAAAATTGAGAAAATATTAAGAAAAAAGTTTTTAACAATGTAGAAAACTATGTTTTATTAATTAACTGAATCTGTCACAGATGTTTTATCTGTGTTGTAATACTTTAAATGATTCAAAGTAGACATATGAAAACAGCAGTGCTTTTGTTGTTGTTGTTGGAGATCAAGTATAGTAACATATCTAGATGACTTTTGGAATATCTGATCCCCTGGAGAAAAAACATTTATTTCTGTGATTCATGTAGGTCCGAGGGGAGTATAGATAATAAAAGAACTGAAATATTTCTGAATAAATTAAAGTTTCCAACCATAATTTAAAATGAGAAGATGAACCAGATGCTGAGATAGTTCCCCCAGGGAAACTAAGAAGCCTTGAATGATTTGAGTTTTAGAAAAGCTGCTGCTGCTGTTGGTGTCCTATATGAAAACAAGGAACTGATTTACAGGAAGAAATACAGCCTTTCAATGTAAAGCTGTCCTACAAGGAAGAATTCTTTATTCACTGAGTTGAGATTAATTCAGATTATTCCTTTGAGATTTATAGTAGATGAATATAATTACTGTTAACTTTAAAGTAAACTATGTCTCAAAGACAACGATTCAGAGATTTTTAAGATTAGAAGGTACCATCATCATATCTGACCTCCTGCATAATGCAGGTCAATTAATCTTACCCACTAATTTCTGCATTAACTTCTGGCCGATCTAAAATATATCTTTAGACAGACATCCAGTCTTGATTCACAGAGTTAAGATGGTGAATTTACTACATCCTAGGGCTAGGTAAATTGTTCCAATGGCTAGTATGTTTTTTAGAGATTATAATCCTTTTTTTTCTAGTCTGAATTTATCTAGCTTCAGCCTCCAACCATTAGATTCTGTTATAGCTTTTTCTGCTAAATTGAAGTGTTTTCTACTATTAGAAGTCTTCTGCATGTTGGTATTTCTATTCCATTATTTTCTAGATATGTCTTTGCAGTACTCTCATCTGGATGCCTTTATAAATGCATAGAGATTAAGACCAGAAGAGACCATTGGATCATCTAGTCTGACCTTCTGTATAACACCACAAACCATGGAATTTCACCCATTTATGTTTGTTGAACCAATAACTTGTGTTTGACTAACGCATATCTTCCAGCACCTTATCTTGAGATCAAGACGAGGGCTACGTCTACACTGGAGCATTCTCACGCAAAAGCTCTTTTGTGGAAGAGTTCTTCTGCAAAAACTCTTCCAGAAGAGAGCGTCTACACTGACATGTACTTTTGCACAAGAGCATCTTTGCCAGTGTAAACGCTCACTTGTACCAAGTCTAGACTCCTGCCCTCATGGCAGGACCAAGTACCATCCCAAACAGATTTGCTCCAGATCCCTAAACACGCAAAAGGGTTTATTCCTGAGCGGGAGCGTCAGAGTTCTTTGGCAGGTTTATGCTCAAACCACTGAGCTATCTCTTCCTGCTATGTTTTAAATTATCTGTAAAATGGTACAGTAGAAATCATTATTCTATAGCAATTTCTTTAAATGAACTGATCTTCCAAATTAAATTTAAAAACTTTGAGACTCATGTCTGATGAACCAGAGGAATAAAATTAAAAATGAATTGAGAAATTTCATTTATTAATGCTATGCCTGGCGGAGATGGTAGTTTTGGTACAGTAGTCACAGACTGCTGGCTAAACCAGATTCCTGCCACTACAGCCTGGATGAAAAGGCCAATTACAGCCAGCTGAGCAAACCCAGGCCTGAACTGCTAATGGAAACAGCTGAGGGCCTCAATAGCCACAGGGCTTGATAAGACAGCCAGAGGGGAGGAGCCAGAGAGTGGCTGAGTGTGCTCCCCAGCCAGAAGGCGATGGTAGTTGAGTTAGCTGCTGGGAAAACAAAGCTCTGTAAACGGAAGATGGTGGGAAGTTGGCACAAACAATAAAAAGATACCGGTGATTGCACAAGAGAGGGTCTCCTGGTGATTTGTGGCTGAAGAAGGGGTCCTAGGGCAAGGGGCCTAGGCAAGGACCTTGCCACACAATTGCTAATTCCTTTCATTATTTAAAAAATTGTGCCTTCTTTCCAATTTAAATTTATCTGGCTTTAAATTCCAGTTATTTGTTCTTGTTGTGCCTTGCTTTGCTAGGTTAAAAAAGGCCTTTAGGTCTTGACATTTTCTCCCTGTGATGGTACTTTGAGCAATGACTTCACTATGGTCTAGCTTCTTTTTGATAAACAGACTTAGTTCCCTAAGCCTTTTATCATGGGCCACGTTTTCTGAGCCATAAAGTAATTTTTGTGATTTTGTTTTTCACTTCACTTCTCCAGGTTTTTAGCTAATCCTTTCTTTGAAAACTGTATTTGATCTATTAAAGTTTTTTTCTTTATCTTTAATTTAAGGCCAGAAGATTATATTCAGTCTATATAGCATTATATTCAAACGATATAACAGTTCAGTGGGATCTCTTAAAACTACATCCCACCTACAAAAATGTTGATACATGTTTTTCATCATAGAATGCTACTCTGAGTAGAAAGGATATTTTAGATACAGAGGGTTTGTCTACACAGCAGTGTTATTTCTGAATAAGTGATGTTATTCTGAAATAACATAGTCCGTGACTACACTACAAGCAGTTATTTTGTCATAATGTTGAGCTGGAGGACTTCTTACTTCAACTCTTGTAACTTTCATTTTATGAGGAGTAAGAGAAGTCAGGGGAAGAGTGCTTCCTGCTTTGTAGACAGCGCCAAAAGCTGAAATAAGCTATTTTGACTTAAGCTATGTAATTGACATAGCTGTGTAGACATGCTCTGACGAGTACACTATACACAGGCTGCATTAAAAGTTCATTGAAAAATGGGTCAATTTTTTTGAGACCTCAGACTAGATAGGTATCAAGGGAGAGTTTGCTCAACCAAGCATAGCTTTATTATCTGACCACCAGCTTCTTCCCAAACGAGGTATTGGAAATCCTGCTTTATAAACTACATTAAAAAATACTGCAGGGGAAAAAAGTTTGTGCCCAATGTTATAATATGTTAACTAAATAGTTCACTACAGGAAAGAATATTTTTTTTAAATTATATTTTACGTTTTCAGGGAGAAGGGATGGAATCTTTTGAGCAATAACTACTAAACTTTCTTCCAAGTATTTCCATGTTAGGAATTGAGGAGCTTTTGAAGTATTGAGATGTGAGTATCAAACTTCTGAACTATATAGTTTCACTCATAGTATTCTGAAAAGCATTGATGCTGTTAAAGTCAATGGAAAAATCCCAAAGTGTTGAGGAAAAATGAAAGCGTGACAGTTGCTTCTCTCTCGCTTTCTCTCTTTTTTGGTTGTATTTAAATAATATTTGCAAACTTTAGGGTGTTCTCACTTCAGACCATATTTCTCAAACTTCTTAATCTCACCCCAAAAGAAGATTGTTTTTACTCTCACTGTCAATTGTTAGAGCAACTATACTTTGAAATGGATATAATGAATTAGCTGTCAAAAAACCTACCACTATCATCTTTGGAAGTATAGACTCTGAGTTCTTTTTTATATCATGTTTCAAACAAACTGTTCTTGATTAATGATTATTGATAATGAGGAGAATATACAAAATAATGTTGAGACCCAGCTGACATTTAACTGTCAACATGAACAATAAGTC